TAAATAGAGTTTTTCATATTATATAGAAGAAAATTACGATACATAATAAAAAAGATGAGACAAGATGTCAAAAGATAAATTATTAAAATATTATCTTGCACGCTTGGCAGAACAGGACAGGAGCATATATAGACGTTTCTGATAGTTTCAGTACTTTCTAATTTCATTTTTAAATATTATAATAATTTAATCTTTCTTTTTCATTACTGAGAGTTTTTCTGAAGATTCGAAATAAAATTATAAAAGAGGGTGTAGTTTAATCGTTTAAAACCGAATCAGATAACTGGCAGACAAAGCAATAAAAGGAATCAGAATTAGAGAATGAAAATATTATTTTCACATTAGATAATTGTTAGATGAAATTTAATAAAGGTAGCCTACACAGAAGAGAGTGTTTGCTATCAGATAAACAATTCTTGGTATCTTTACAAAAGATGATCTACTGATGAAACTGCTTGAGGGTTTCATGAACAATTCTAGCTTAAGGTCACCTGTCGTTTTTGAATCTTTAAACTGTTATATACGCAGGCTTTTAAAGCTAAAGATCAAACTTGGGAAACATTTTTATAGACGTGAGAAGTTCATAATTCGTTTTAAATGTGTCATCAATATATTTATTCGGTATTAAATGTCTTTTGGATCACTTGGAATTGTGAAAGTGACTGCAGATTAACTGCTTCGAATTTCTCGTATTTACGTGCTTCCATTGAAATCCCTTAGTTAGAAACGTTAGGATAAACGCATTAACTTCTCTGTAAAGTACGTTTGGTTTATTGGTTTATTAGATTACGGCAAAGCACTCGAGGGCTATCTGCCTTAAGGAAGAGATGCCTTCGGAGAGAACTTTTTAAGGAAAACTGGCTCGTATACACGTTACACATGGGGAAAACCATGAAAACACTCATGCAGCCAGCCCGTTCGCGGGATTCGAACCTCGGACCGAAGTACCAGCGTTCAGCGACGTTACCGCTCGGCCGCTGTTGAGCTGTGTAAAGTACGTATTTGGTTGATAACTATATGACACAAATATGAATTTATCACGAAATGATTGTAAAAAATATATGGTACTGTAATTTCATAAATGTAATTGTGTTCTTTTACTAACTGCATACATATTTGGAACATAATAATATAATAAAACGCATAAGAATGATTTTATTTACTTTATGTTTACATCAACAGAACACCTGATATATACTTTATTATACTTTCTTATTAGTTTCTATTTGCTTTTAAAATTATTCAGAAAGGAATATTGCAAAACAACTAAGAACATTATATCTAAATAGACACACTTGCGGAGAATAAAGCTTTTCTTTTCCTCTTGTGTAATATTTTATTTATGTTTTATGTGACAGAAATAGAACAAATTATACTGTTACTTTTTATTATATTTAAAAAAAAAATGCAAGAGTTGATCCTTGAAATAGGAAGGCATTGGAGCGCTTATTATCTTCGAATCAGGCCTTATCTATCAACAGCCTATTGTTAATAAAGATCTTTACTTATAACATAATAATTTCGCTAACATAATATTTTTATGATGTATGTGTATGGGATCTAGGAATATTATTATAAATAAAAGACGAGGAGATAAGGTAAATAATTAATAACATTTTAGTAAATCTGCAGTATTTAAAATAAGATTATCAGTAATCTGCAGCATTCAAAATAAGAGCGCCTGACAAAAGGAATTTTAGAGCGTCATCTTCACGAACTGTCGTTATCTATCTCAATTTGAGCTTTGGCTTCTACAGTTCACCATATTAGTCCTACCTAATTTCCCCATATACTACCTAATGTATTTTATCCACTTGTAAGTACCATTTAGGCACTGCGATTAAATGCAATCTTACATGTATTATTTACTTAAGGAAGCCATATAGTGAACAAAACTGATATGCCTTGTAAGAAATCCTTGTAAGGAATATGAAATTATAAGCATTTTTTCCTGCATTTCATTTAAAATTATTTCCTCGACTTTCATTAGAAATATATTTCTCATTCAATTAATTCAATTCTCACTTCGCGACAAGGCAAAAATACATAAAAACTCAAAATATCTATATTAAAAATTGAAAGATATAGAAAAACATAAAACACCAAATACAGTTAAAACACTTAAAAAAAAATTACAATTAAAATTACAATTTCTACGCAAAAACAAGCAATTCGGTTAGCGGGAAAGAAGGCAGATATTTCGGTGCATAAAACTGAAAGTTTACTTTTAGTCTCACTCGGCAAAGAGACACTTAAGGCGTAGAAACTGAATATGTTGTGGACGCTGAGTCAATATATGGGATGATTTAATAACTCAAATGATAATTCCAGAATGGATTAAGCATAATTAAATTCTAAATAATAAAAGAAGACGTTACTTTGTTGTGGCTAAGCTTAGTTTCTCTAGATTGGCAACAAATCCGGTGTTTTGTTAAGTTTCAAATGTACAGAAATAGGGGGCTATGGTAAAAAAAAAATTAGGCTTTGTCGCATTTTAAATTATTGATAATTCTACAACTATAACATGCAGGTTAACTAAAGGTATAAAAACCTTAACCGGAAGATAAGAACAACATCATTCAATCAATTTTAGAGCAAACAATGCACAAATTATGAATGTATAAGAATAAAGAAACTGAGTTCACTGAACCGAGTAACAAGAGTGGATATATATATATATATATATATACATATATTTATATGCTTTTGGCTCGGCCGACTGCAACCAAAAAGGGAGGTGCACATCTGCATGTAATATCAGTCCCACATACTAAATTTCAACGATCTGAGACTATTCGTTTTTGAGTTATGCGAGATACATACTGTGAGGGTGACGTCTTATCATCAAACAGAGATCACACTCACGATTCAAAGTATCAGGTTTTATTCCTGGTTTATAGAAGAAAAGATAAACGGAATGAGTATGTACAAATGGATTAAATATGTTTAGGAGAGTAATAACAACACGGGTTCCAGTATGGAGATGTAAAAGTCACAGCTGACCACCTACGTGTGGTCACTTTAGATAAGTTCCAAGTCCGATCGCCTACGCGCGACCAGTAAGCGTCTAGTTGTAGCTCCTTCGCGAGCGTTCTGTTCGACCGCTTTTGTCGGACTTCTCGAACCAAGTGAAGATGTGTCTACCTGGAGAGTTCCTACAGATTAGAGGTAGATAGCGACATGTGGTGCTTCGTTGAAGCACGATTCCCACAATACATACGTACATACGCAACGAAAAAATCTCTTCTAAATCCATTTTACATTAGTTTCATGAGTCGTTTTGGGAAAAAGAGAGCTTTATTTCTTTACGAACAGATGTCAAGCAAAAACATCGTTAAATTGCATTCGATAGCGGTCAAAATGGATATTTTCGTAAAAATATGGTACCCGGAATTTTTCGTAATTACAATACTTCCTTTACTAGAAGGAAGTAAACTTAGTACAAGGAAGTAAAATTGTGTTTCTCAGAAAATATATTTACATTGCTTAACAGTACCTATTGATATCTTGATTCATCCTGTGTTTCTGAGACTAATGTAATGTTTTTCGGTCTTTATATCAATATATCATCTTATAAGGTATTTTTCCCGCCTTATTAGCATGCCTTCGTAGTGTTATGATACGCTGGGCGCGTATTTCAGAGGTCCGTGGTTCGATTCCCGGCGAAGGTGTTGCTCATTTTTCATCACTCCTGCTTTAAAAAAATAATACATAATGTCTCTACAGTGGCGCCCGAATTAAAAGGGTGTTGGATGATGATTCTCCACACCCAGAATTTGTCGATTGGGTCCTCTAAAACTCCAGTCGCCCTTTAAAAAGGGGAGTATATAAGGTATTTCTCCCGCCTTATTAGCATGCCTTCGCGGTGTGGTGGTATGCAAGCTGGCGGGTATTCCAGAGATCCGTGGTTCGATTCCCGGAGAAGGTGTTGCTCATTTTTCATCACTCCTGCTTAAAAAAAAAAAATTATAATGTCTCTGTAGACATAAATTTGAAAATCGTTTTTTTCAAACAGTTATTGTATATATTTAACGGTAATAAATGATAAATTAGTCTGCAATCTACATTTATTTTGCGTATTAATGACATATTAATATTTTCTAAATTTTTTATAATTTTATTAGTCTAGGTTGTTCTTTTGCAAATGTTTCGATTAGTCACAAATTTCCAAAGCATTTTCCGATGCATTCATTCAAAAACATTGATTTTCATATGAAACCATGAAGTTCAGATCCTTGATGTTCGATTATCAACTATTACTTTTAATTCTCGAGTTCAAATGGAAGAAATTATATTCGTAAGTCTTAATAATATATGAAGTTAAAATAAAATTAATTTAAAAAGTAGAAAAATCAATGAATTATCATATATTTTCTATTTATTCGTAAATAAGATTCCTCTTTTTTTTTTTGCAACATTTTTCATCTAAAATTTGGTAGATTCTTGTAAAGTGTTATGTTCATAAATGAAATTTTAGTATGACAAGAAGAAGTTCATTTATTATACTATATAGAATAATTACATTGTTCAAATATTAAGTAAACAGCACAAATAGTTATCCTAAATATAATCTACATGTTTAATTTTTATTATGTAGCTATGTGTAGCTGAGCGATTTCAGTTTAGGTCTCACTGATATGCCTGAAAACAAATAAGTAATAGTGTTTCACAAACATTGTTTCTGGGCCAGAGATAAGCGTATTGGTTTTTCAAGTAAATTTGGAAAGAATTAAAACAAAATAAGATTCTCTCTCTCTCTCAGAATTACTGCAAGGCAAAACAAATATTCAAATACATTTTTATTCCGCAAAATTTACCTTTAAATGTAAGGAAGGTCTTACATTAGATTTTTTTTGTAACTTTCGAGTAAATATGGTAATATGATTGATTATTATAGATGTTTACATATTCTGCTATATTTTTTTATTTTTTCTCTGAGTGTAGAGTAAATTTGCACAAATGGCGTAAGTTTATGATTAATGATTGAACACACTTTTATGTAGTTTTCAGAAATATATTTAATATTTCAGACCATCTACAAATGATCGTTTGAGTAATATTGTGCAAAGTTTGTTTCCAGACTTGATAGCAAAATAAATAAGGATGCTGTAGGTGACGATCAGAAGAAAGCTTGATTTCAGATTTAAGTTATCCGAAACAGTTTGAGTAACTGCTCCAAAATCCTATCATTCTGTTAAAAAATGAGAATAGTATGCGATTTACGTTGTAGTCTTTTTATCCTACAAAATATTGTACTCGATTTGCATCACCATATCGTCTTCGATATTCTATTATTCTTTGTCTATCCTCATATTCTCTTAAATATATATTTCTTTCTTCCGGGGATTCTTCTGGTTTTGGCTGGCAGGTCGAAACGGCAAATACAGGTTTCTAGAAAAAAGAGGAACATAAAGAATTCATTTGATATGTTTGAGGACAAAAACATGTGAAAGAAAAAGAACAATACTTATTAATAAGATAACATGGTATAATTTACTAATTATTTAAGAAATTATGTATTTAAGATTAGGCAAAAACGCATAAGTAGGTTGGTATACGTCTTGAATAAAAAATCAATCGATTTTGAGAGCGGTCAGACATAGGTTCCTCTTCTTCAGAAGCAAAAATACCGCATTTTACGTTGGTGTGTTTCTCTTCTAGATTCAGAGTATAGTATATATGACACAAAATGGTTTAGTCCTAAGGAGTAAAATACTTGGTATATAAAGAAAATGAAATTTGAAACTTTTGTGCGCAAATCATATCTGTCGATTTTGTTATAGAATAAAATATATATCGCATCAATTATATAATTGAAATAGTAGAAAACTGATCTAATTTTGTTGTTGCTTTAGTATATTTCCAAAACACACTTCTCAGAAATAAGTTATTTCTGAGAATAAATAATAGACTTTCTTATTTATATAATCTGCCTGGCAGATATATAAACCGCTTTTTAATATTTAAGGTGAAATATGTACCTATATGTAAACAAGTACTTAAATAAATTTGCGATTCTTATCTTGTAGTGCAACTTAGAATTTAGCCGAGTATTTTAAATTCAGTGTTTGTGAATTGTACTTAAAGGTGCAAGATTTTATTCCCTCTCCCTGTTTATCTCTGTCTATAACAGAGATTCTCAAACTTTTTGCCCTTATACACCTTATCACCAATGCTAGAAAATCATTCCCCCCTTCCTTTCGGAAACTCAAAACTAATTATATATGTTTGTCTAGTTTTAGATGATTCTTTTAACGTGTTTCATAAATAAAACAACAAAATGTATAGAAAATATTGAAAAATACCAAAACGTGAGTAAAAGTAGATTTTATATTCGTAAACTAAATACTTAACAGCTAACTAAAAGGCTGACCACATATCCCCCTGAAACTACAAAATTCTCCTACGGGGTATTCCCCCTTTGTTGAGATTTATAGTATATATACATGTAGTGTTCCCTCTTTAAAATAAAAACGATGGGACCAAAACTGCAGGTTTACTCTGCACTCTGCACATAATGAGGACAATAGGCCTGATATTACGATTAAGCTGTTACTGCGTATCCTCTGGAGAAGAAAATCTATCCATGCAACCCGGCCAAGGCCTGGGAAGACAACCGATATGATGCATGAACATACAATGCCCTTGAAGGAAACACACTGCTGGCCATTAAAATTGCAGCACCAGGAGGGAATGAGCTGAAGAACGTCAAAATCACATGAAAGGAAGAAGAAGTTGGAATATGCAAATGATTAGTATTTCAGCGCATTTAGACGACGCAGGAGGGAGAAACGACATCTGAAGCACTGCATAAAAGAAAGGTTGTGTAGAGGATTTCTCATTCAGACTTTGTAAGGTTGGAGTTTGCTCAGAATATCGTGTTATGTCTCGAATAAGAAGAGCAAATGCTTACCAGCAAGTTTCGAAATTCGATAGAGGCAGGATCGTTGTCTGTCGAAAGTGTAGATTATCGTTACATGATATCGCACTGGTAAACATTCAACCACTGTCATGCAAATATGGAATCAACGGATTGCTGAGGATTATGCTAAACGGCATGCTGGATCTCAACGCCCTCCCATGACTAACACCAGAGAGGACAGACATATTGTGAGGTCAGCCCTGCAATTCAAATGAGTCCTAGTTCAACATGCAGTATTTTGAAGGCCATTTACGTGTCCGGAGTGTTCGAGGAAACCACACGTCGCCTGCTTATATTCGATACCGGCATAGGGACCGAGCACCTGAGACAATAAATCGATAAACAGTCTAAGAAAGACAAGATTATTAGAGGAAGTCAGTCAAATGAATATTTGAAAGCTGTTCAGCTTACAAATACTTCCCAAAGCAGTTTTGAAAACCTCTTGATTAGCAAAAAATAAAAATACTTGGAGGATAAAGTCGAAGCTTCGTAATTGCTAACTATTGTAAACATTCCCAAGCGCATGAGGTTCATTTTAAAGTTCGCGCAGACAGTACCTCTTTTTGAGTTATCGGATTATAGAATTATATAAGTATTATCTTGAAATCATTTTCTTTTCATAGGCAAAACTTCTGATACTTAAAATAATCGCCGTATTGCTTATTAGACTCCTTACACCGCATAACATCATTTGTACATAATTTTAAACGATACACCCCTCAGTATTTGAAATCATACACTACTATCGAAAATCATATACATAATAATACATAAAATTTTACAGTGCTGCATATCAAAATGGATATTCCAAAATGGAGATCAAATTCTCGTTGGCACATAGCCAACTCGAAGCCCTCCATTTTGCATGTATTACTTTTCATTTGTAATACATGCAAAATAATTTGCATGTATTACAAATGAAAAGTACTTTCACTTTAATACATTTTGATATGGCTATTACATTATGATTCTAAAGTAAAATAACTTCATAAGAATATTAATTACATATATTTAGTGACTGAAAACTTATAAAGTATTTGTGCGAAAATTCTTTCGGTATGCCTGTATCAAAATTATAAATTAAAGAACGTTACACACTAGTTAACTACAAAAGCATATCGTGGAACAACATAAAAGAGACAACAACTTGAATGATTCTAAATTATTTTTTAACCAAATTTCAAAGCCAAATATTACGTTAAAATTTCCATATTTTGAAATTAATTACATCAGCCAATTTTTGTCATCAGGAAATTAAAAGTTTCGAGTTTCCTAAATATAATTGCAGAGACCAAAAAATAATACAAAAATAGTCAGATTTTTTAATTTTAACAAAATAAAAGTTTAAAACTATTTTCTAGTTGGAAGTATGCGGACGCTATATTGAATGTATATATATATATATATATATATATATATATATATATATATATAAATCTTCGAATTTCATTTTTACAGTGCTTAGGTTTATATGGCAATTTTGGAATTGCTCTTGTTCTCTTTTTGTTCTTGGATTATGTTCTGGAATTTCCTCTGGTATATAATTTTTTTAAGTGTTTTCACTGATGTCAATTGATCCGAGGATTGTTGACATTTTTTACAATTTCGCAAAAACATTTTTATTCCAATTCATTTTTTTTGCTGAGCTGAATTGGCTATGATACTTGAATTTGCTTTGATTTCCCTTTGATTATAATTTAATTATTACCTCTGAATTATATTAGCTTACAACGCGTGATTTGACTTTATATATATATATATATATATACGCGCACATACATATGATTTGAAAAAGGAAAGTGAAATCTTCAATAACAGATGGAGTTGAAAAATAAGTTTGGACATTAATATTAAAATACTTACTAAAGGAAAGAATGAATTCTGAAACTTGCATTCATAATATCTGACGCAAGGACATATGACTTTATATCTGTCATGCTCTATAGAAACATTGTGAGGAGCATTCCAGCAGACTTGACCTATAAACAAAACATATTAGCTTCAATCATATACGTATTTAACACCCCATATTCAGTTCTCTCCTATAAAACTGCTTGCAAAATAACTAAAGTTTGGTAAATGAATCGAAAAATGCGTTATGGTAGGAGAAATAAAACATTCTGTACGTATTTCTATTAAAATATTTATTTCGAAACTTACAAAAGGTGAACTAAAACAAAAACTATAAAAATGATAGAGAATAAGAACATGTCTATCAGTTAAGAGCACTGGAAAATTTGATATGACCTATTACGAAGAGATAAAAGAAAATTTCTGATCTAGATTTCGTATGTGTTGAATTTCTACAAATGCTTAATTCCTTAGCCATGTGTGGTAAACTGCCTTTCTAAATTTTGTAAAATGCAAACAGAATACGAAGGGAAGACGGGATTTAAGATTTCACTTATGATACAGAAATTTTGTTTACATATAATAAATTGTAAATACTCATCCTCTTGGAATCTTACAGACTCGTTCTGATTACAAAACTGGAAAACTAAACTCCCGAAAAAGTAGAGCGGAACTGAATTGAAATTTCACAAGTAAACTAACTCAAGACCTAAGAAGCAAATGATTAAAATTTCACAGCCATACATGCAATAGTGGCTATGTTGGTATCGATGTAGTGGACACAGATAAATGAGGGACATTAGGTATACGGGTATATAAATAAGTATAGTTCCCCCATACTTAATTACGAGAGTGCTAGCCATTAAAATGGAATTATTACGTCATGAAAGCCAGCCGCATGCAATAAACGTCATGATTGTCATGAAAATAAAAACTCATGATTTTTACGACATGAAAGCAGCATGCAATAAACGTCAAATTTCCATGAAAGGTGCTACAAGCTAGGCTATGTAAAGGATTATTTCAGTGTCTCTGCAGAGAGAGCCTTTCAGCAGTTTTCATCAACTACGAACTGAAATGAGTTGGAGCTTGAAATAAACTAGACAGGCACTAGATTTCACAAGCGAATGGAAGCGGGAAAGGGCAGTTTACAGTATTGTAGTTAATCTTCTATCATTTAAATTGTTTTGTAAACAGTAATAAAATATACTGTACTATTAAAGAAAGCCCTCTGTTGTTGTCTGGATGAATGAATTCTGTTATGAATCCCTCTTCAGTGGCTCACCTTGAAGAATAATGGAGATGAACTTTACCTTTTAAATATTATTACTTATCTTAAAAAAATTACTGGTTTTTAAAAATTCCATTGGCTAAAAATTATGTAACACTACCCATCAATAAGGATTTAGCTTTGAAGCGTTTAGATATTATCACCGAGAAACCTATTTTACAAAATTTGTTTTCCTCATACGATTCAGGCTTTAACCACTGGTGTAATGCAGAAGTAATTGAAGAAGTTAAAGAAAATGTAGCTATTGACTACGGACACTATTTGCTGCATAGACACAGGATTAAAAAACAGCTTAACGCCAATTCCATCTGTGTTTGATGCATCTGCACGAGCAAAATCGTCTCTCTCTCTCTTTAAATCAGTGTTCGGACTGCGGTACAAATTTCATGGAACTATTTCTTCTCTCCTGTTAAGATTTCGAGCAGTCAAGTTTGCTTACAGCAGACACTGAGAAGGCATTTTTTACAAGTCAGTGTAAAGCCTGAAAACAGAGACTGGCCTCAATTGCTATGTTGAAACGAAGTGAAAGAAAAGAAAAGGAAAATATTTCATCATGTAGTATAGGTGATAGAGTATCATATATAGTATTTCGTCATATCAAAGAGTAGTCCTTTCCTTTTGGTAGCTGCTATAGAATTCCATCTCTATAAAATTACATAAAAGATTTTCAGTATGATACGAAAGTGATAGCAGTAATAGTCTGAGTCATGTTCCTTTCCGTTCTCAAATATTATAGCAGAACTTATGGAAAGCGGGAATTTCTTGGGATACCCAAGTCGACGAGACTACAAAGGAAAACTTTCTGAGTTGGCATAAAGTTTCTCTTCTCTTGAAAGAAATCGCTATGCTACGATGGATACATTCCAGCAAAGGCAGTAAAATATTCTCTAGCATTCACACTTTTTGCTATGCCAGTAATAATGGGTATGCTCACGCAGTCTTTTTAGAACTGAGATTACTTCTGGAGCTGAAGTTCATCTGTTGGCATCAAAGTCTAGATTAGCTCCTGTTAAGTCTATCAGGATTTCTCGTCTGGAATTAACAGCTGCTACTACATGACCCAGATTATGCTCTTCTGTTTCAGTTGGTTTACAATGGCACAATGTTGAAATGCACTTTTGCACAGATTCTACAACAGTTTTGATATGGATCTGAAAGTAAGAGATCTGGACTATCTTTGTGCAAAACAGAGCCAAATTACAAAATTGACGAGATTCGAATGCACGTAAACATATTTCTGACATAAAAGAAGTCCAGCTCACCTTCCATCAAGAGGCTGCACCCCTAAACTGGTTTTAACAGTTAGATGATGGGAAATCCCGGATTGGCTGAAAAAAAAATTAAGAATGGCCAAAATCAAAACTGGTTTGTAATCATGTAAATATGACTCAAGAAATGAGAAAAAATAACAAAAACTCATTTAAATGTAAAAATTTAAGAAGTATTTTATAGAATTTTATCGTACGGAAAACTCATTATAATAGTTGCTTGGATTTTTAGATTTTATTTTAATCTTGCTTTGATGAACTATAATAGTTGACTTAAAACTGTCCAATGAAAAGAATTTCCTGACGAAATAAACTATCAGCGAATAAAACCTCTTCATCCAGTACTCCGTTGTTGAAGAAAAGGGATTAATGAGAATACAAACACAGATCTTCAGTAGAAAAGAAAATAAAATTTTTCGATTACCCATAATACTGCCATCGAAGCATAAGATTATGCACATGCTCATCGCATGTAAAGAACTTGGACATCCTGGAATGCAGATATTAAACAATCACCTTCGTGAAAATTACTGGATTTTACGAAGTCGCAAAACGATTCGACAGGTTATCTTGAAATGCGTTCGATGTAGATGTTTTATCGTGAGGCATCCAGAATCGAAAGCTACTTTCTTGTCTGAAGACCGAGTAAAATGTGCTACAGTATTCGAAGGTATGGATCTCGTAGGACCATTGAATTCGAGAGATAAAACAAAGGCCGATTAACTTGCCCGTGCATATGGAGTTAATAACATCTTTGACATCGAAAGCCTTTCTGCTCTCATTGAGAAGATTTATGACATTCAAAGATAGACCGATCGTTATTCATTCCGGATGATGAATGAAAGCTCTCAGCAAACTATGCAAAATTGACAGGAAGAAAATAGAGGCTGAATCTAGATTTAAGAGTATAACATGGAAATTAATTTCTTTATCAACCCATTGATGGGAACGATTAATCGGCATGACCAAGTAGTGTTATACGATACTGAAAGTCTGATAAACTTAAGATCTTTGACATACTTGTCTGAAGATATTAGCTACTTAATTGCTATCTCTCCTTCCATGTTCCTACAGGAGAACAAAGAAATTGGAGTATCAGATATTGATAACATTGATACTTCTTATACGCTTAAACAACATCTGTACTTGCAGAGGATATGTAGAGATCTACGAAAAAGATTTTGACTAGAATATCTTGAACATCTAAAGCATGTTAATCTTGCAAAAGTTTTCCAAACCGATTTCTGTTAGTTGTGCAGTGCTCATCGGTTCTGATAACCTGAAGCGTCTGCAATGACCAACAGCACGTGCTGGCGAAGTCCTACCTAAAAAAGATGGTACTGTCTGAATTGTAAAATTGAAAACAACATCTGGCATCGTCAGAAGAACTATGCAATAGTATTCGTTGTCAGATAAGCCTGACTATCCTGTTTTGAGATACAAGCCCATAGCGACTGTAGATCAACGATTAAAATCGAAGAAGAAAGACAACCAGAATCCTTTCGTGAAGTCACAGTTACTCGGAATGGACGTCTAAATGCACTCTGACGTCTAGATGAGATGAGTAATAAAACTTACTTCTTTTTTCTTTGCTTTCTGTATGGTTGTAATCATTTATTGTTTGTTCTGTTTTGTTTTATTTAATATTGTGCAAGGTTTGCATTGTGTAAAAGTAGTGTACGGAAAATATGCTCGGTTATTGATTAATGAAATACGTCCCAAAGAAAGGACAAATTTCATTCTTGGCAGGGGCGTGTCATGCACATACTCGGTAAGGGGAAGCTACTGACACAGTCCTGCCGGAATAACGGTTCAGCTAACGACTTCTATCTGGAAGTAGAGAGGGGAAATCAGACAACGGGAAAAGAGAAGCGTAGTTAATGTGCAAAGGACTGCACGTTGGTGTGAAAGAACTTTGTCTTATTATATCTTTTCCTTTGGTTTCTTTTATAACTGGAATGTAAAAATGTATTAATTGTGCGTTTGATGTAATTTTAAACAAAATACCCCTTGAAGAGCTAATTTGTATTTCAAGAATGAAAATATAGCTTATTTTGTTATTGTTAAGCATGTGGGAGTGTGCCATTTTATTTTTCGTGAGTGAAGTTGGCAAATAACATTCATAAGTGGATGGCAATGAAATGACAAAGTTGAATTCATCAAGACCTAGGAATTATGGAAAGGTCTAGGATTATGACAAGCTCTAAACCTGTTCATAGACTGCAATTGTGACATATGCGACAATAGGTTGATTTCCGGCACAACTCAAAGTGGGAAGACGTCGCTGCTGAGCGAGCCTCTCGACAGTTTTCATCCATTACGAACTGAAGTTAACTGCAGAAAAATAAACCAGAGTAAACCAGAGAGACACTAGATTCACCAGCTAACGGAAGCAGAGCGCTGTTTACCGTATTCATAATTAATTTTCTTCTGTCATTTAAACTTTTGTAAATAGTAATAAAATAAGGCCTCTGCTTTTGCCTGGATGAATGAATTCTTTTATTGGAGTCCCACTTCAGCAGCGCATCGTGAAGAAATTTAAAGGTAAGCTTTTCCTTTTCAATATTAT